CAGGCAGCACCCCCCGCTCCCTGCTTCCTCGGAATGCCGCACTCCCACGGCCGGGCCCCTCCTAAGGGGCAAGAGTTCCTGACAGCTTGAGGGGGGCTTAGGGACTGGCCCTAGGCGTGGCAGAATTGTGCCCTTTAGTCAAAAAAAAATAGCACTGGGCATTTCTAAGGAGCCCTTTCCATTGGCAATCCGTGCCGCTCGCCATCACCGGTCAGAGCGAGGGCTCCCCGGCCGTGCCGCTCGCCATCACCGGTCAGAGCGAGGGCTCCCCGGCCGTGCCGCTCGCCATCACCGGTCAGAGCGAGGGCTCCCCGGCCGTGCCGCTCGCCATCACCGGTCAGAGCGAGGGCTCCCCGGCCGTGCCGCTCGCCATCACCGGTCAGAGCGAGGGCTCCCCGGCCGTGCCGCTCGCCATCACCGGTCAGAGCGAGGGCTCCCCGGCCGTGCCGCTCGCCATCACCGGTCAGAGCGAGGGCTCCCCGGCCGTGCCGCTCGCCATCACCGGTCAGAGCGAGGGCTCCCCGGCCGTGCCGCTCGCCATCACCGGTCAGAGCGAGGGCTCCCCGGCCGTGCCGCTCGCCATCACCGGTCAGAGCGAGGGCTCCCCGGCCGTGCCGCTCGCCATCACCGGTCAGAGCGAGGGCTCCCCGGCCGTGCCGCTCGCCATCACCGGTCAGAGCGAGGGCTCCCCGGCCGTGCCGCTCGCCATCACCGGTCAGAGCGAGGGCTCCCCGGCCGTGCCGCTCGCCATCACCGGTCAGAGCGAGGGCTCCCCGGCCGTGCCGCTCGCCATCACCGGTCAGAGCGAGGGCTCCCCGGCCGTGCCGCTCGCCATCACCGGTCAGAGCGAGGGCTCCCCGGCCGTGCCGCTCGCCATCACCGGTCAGAGCGAGGGCTCCCCGGCCGTGCCGCTCGCCATCACCGGTCAGAGCGAGGGCTCCCCGGCCGTGCCGCTCGCCATCACCGGTCAGAGCGAGGGCTCCCCGGCCGTGCCGCTCGCCATCACCGGTCAGAGCGAGGGCTCCCCGGCCGTGCCGCTCGCCATCACCGGTCAGAGCGAGGGCTCCCCGGCCGTGCCGCTCGCCATCACCGGTCAGAGCGAGGGCTCCCCGGCCGTGCCGCTCGCCATCACCGGTCAGAGCGAGGGCTCCCCGGCCGTGCCGCTCGCCATCACCGGTCAGAGCGAGGGCTCCCCGGCCGTGCCGCTCGCCATCACCGGTCAGAGCGAGGGCTCCCCGGCCGTGCCGCTCGCCATCACCGGTCAGAGCGAGGGCTCCCCGGCCGTGCCGCTCGCCATCACCGGTCAGAGCGAGGGCTCCCCGGCCGTGCCGCTCGCCATCACCGGTCAGAGCGAGGGCTCCCCGGCCGTGCCGCTCGCCATCACCGGTCAGAGCGAGGGCTCCCCGGCCGTGCCGCTCGCCATCACCGGTCAGAGCGAGGGCTCCCCGGCCGTGCCGCTCGCCATCACCGGTCAGAGCGAGGGCTCCCCGGCCGTGCCGCTCGCCATCACCGGTCAGAGCGAGGGCTCCCCGGCCGTGCCGCTCGCCATCACCGGTCAGAGCGAG